AAATTTATAAAAATTCCAAGCACGAAATTAAAATTAAATTGAAATTTCAAATAATAGAGGGAATGATGAGTATAGTTAAATATCGCTCTGTAGATTAATAGATAAAAATTAATAATGCAATAATAAATCAAAATTAAACTCTACTATAGGTAGTGTTATTTAAAGCTAGTAATTAAAGTAATTTGACAACCAAATGTTGCTATAATAGCTAGAAGATCAAATGAATTAGAGCTAGGCATTTCATAACCGCCATGACTCACCAAGTTACTATTAATAGCCAATAAAATAAAAGGATTTCAATTAGTGATAAGACTATTTCAAACTAAAACTCTGAGATAGACGATAATGAATAGCTTAACCTTGAAGGCAATGGAGATGATGATGAAGTTAGTGAGATACCTTAATTCCCTCCCTACCTAAATTTCCAATCTAATCCAGCTAATAAGAGCGTTCCTTAGCAGGCTCAACTAATAAAAATAAAGGAAGACCAAAAAGAAGTAATTGATTAAAATAAAATAAATTGCCTTGATAAAATTTAATAGCATCAAAATGATTCAGTTATCCAATTAAAAAGTTTAATTAAAACTAAATAAGAAGAACCTAAGTATATAGAACAATAAAAAAATACAACTATCTTGCAAACTGATAACCTTTCCAATAAAAATAATTCTTAATAATCTTGTCAAAACCAAGAAATTTAGGATAATCAAATTCAAGAAACTATAATCAGCGAAATACCTCAATCGAAATAAGATAATACAAACTAAATTCCAGATTTGATTGATCATTTGAAGTAAAGTATACAAAATCAAAATGTTAATATGAACCAAATTTGTGAATTTCCAACTGATAAGATTATAAATAAACGAAACAGGAAATAGATTCAAAAACTTCAGCAACAGTATTCAAAGAATTAAGCAAATCTTCACCAAAATGATCAAAATAATTAATACCCAAAGCCTACCAAACTTGGCAAAAATTAGAGAGTGTGTTTTTAGCCTACCTAATTGATGGAAACTCAATCTAAATAGGCTACTTAAAATTTAAGTGTACCTATAAATACAAATTAATTACTAATTTAAAATAACTTCGAAACAGCATAGAATATAGTATAAATCCAAAACAACACGAAGGAATTTTCACCTAGATACTCTTCACAAGGTTTGATAACTAATAAGCAATAGTTGAGCTAAAGTTCTCAAAAGACTTTTAATATCAATAAATGTCCTCACTAAAACCCCAATCACTAATAAATAAGCTAGATTGATCAATCCTAATAGAAATTTAGAGTTTTTAAAGCCAAAAGTGTGTATAATCTTGAAACTCAAGTGAGAAAATTTGCAATGAAATAAAAGTTTAATATTCTAACTATTTCAAGGGATGCAAAAAGACCATGCTTTAAATGTACAATAGAAGGCTGTGATTTTAAACTAATTTTCAACAATAATCTGGGCAATCAAGGCTAGACTCAAGATAGCTTTCTATAGCACAATCATGAAATTTACTCTCATTTATACGATGAAGCACTCTAAGTGAAGATTATGTAATAAAAAGACAATGTTCAAAATAGCTTGTAAGGTGTAAATTAGAATCTAAATGTTTTATAAAGCTAAAATAATTAAAACTAAAGTCAGAATTCATGGTAGGGTCATCAATCTTAGTAATAAATTTCATAGCAATCACTAAACTCAAAACAAAACTAACTTTAGTAAAACAATCAGAATTTAATATAACACAAGAATCATTAAACAAACAAAAGTAAACACCCAGATTAAAAAGGGAAAAATAAAAAGGAAAAAAAATAGAATTTAAACATATTGCCTGTTATAAACGATATAATTCCAGTTAGAAGAGCGTTTAATGATCAATACAGAAAATATTGATTTCCAATCTTAAAGCATTTTAATGTCGATTAAACTTAATTTTATGCTAAATATTTGGTTGATTTAATAATAGATGTCTTTAAAATTGATTCATCAAAGTCTCCAAGCTGTAATCATAAGAGTTATGAAATGATCATCATTATCAATGCTGGAACTAACAGCTGCATAATAATCATTCCATTCATCTCTAGAAATAGTTCCATCTCTATTTTTGTCGCCAAAATTCTGAAGAAATTTAACATATACTTCTTCCTCACACATTTCCCCTGATTAAACCTTAGGATGACTTGAACAATCATAGACTCCTCTCAAATCTGCAGCTGTAATTCTGCCATCACCATCCTTGTCAAATTTAAAATAAGCTTTGTCTATGAATGTTTGTCTCTTAGCGTTTGGTTTTCCTCTAATTCCAACCAAAAACTCATCGTAGTTGACGAATCCATCTTTATCAGTATCAAGATAATCGAGTAGGACTTCTGCTTCTTTCTTAGAAATATCGGCTCCATATTCTTTGAGTCCAACATAGAATTCTTCCTTATCAATCTTTCTATCACCGTTGTATGAATCAATTGATCTGAATGCTCTGCCTAGTGATCTAATTGTTGAGGCTCCTCTAGCATTCAAACTTTCCTTCACAATATAAAGAACTAAATCATGGTTAATATAAATGAATTATATTATCTTACTTTGTTAAGGTGTCTTGCTATCTACCATTTCCCAGGACTAAATGAAAAATGATTGAATAAGAAAAGCAATATGAAAGAAATAATTAATTATAAGTCTACTTATTTTCTAGAAAAAATACAAATTCTTTTTTACTAAAGATTAATGATCTTCAAGGGGTTTTGGGGTTTTGGGGTTTTGGGG